GATGGCTTCTTTCACTCCTCTTTCAAACCATCTGTCCTCTCTGTCCAAAATGTGAACATTGGCATCCTCGAAAGAGTGTCCTTTGTCCTTAAGATGCAGATGGACTGCTGAGTCTTGTCCTGTGGAGTTTTATTGAAGAATATTTTCATCCTGATGAGGACTAAAAATTCCCAGAGCCAGAAGAAAGCGACTTCCATCATGGAAAATGTGAGATTTGATTTGTTTTCAGTGTGTTTCACCTCTGAGATTTTTGTAGGCCTGAAAGTTTAGATTTAAGATTTTCTCATATCTTAAAAAGAAAACAGTATTTATTGTAAATATATAACCAATCAAGTCTTTTCAAGGTCAATGTACTCAATTTACTTTTGTAACCTGGGTTAAAAAGATGCATAAATAGTAAAAGATAAGTGAAGTCTGAGAATATAAATATCAAAGAGTTCATTTATTTAAATTTTCTTGTTTATTAAAAAGGTAAAAGTTCATGTAAAATGATTAAAAACATGTTTGCATTGTTTAAAATAAGTTATCTTTTCTTGTGAATTGTTTGTGAGAACTGTAATTTCCTACGGGGATAAGGTCTGTGAAGGTAACACAGGGTGGAGAAGGAAAAAAGAGAAAAGAGGAGAGCGTGAGAAGAGAGGGCGGTGGTGCGTGAGTTACACGGAGCATCCGGAGAAGTTAGCTTGTTTTTATGTACTAGTAGTAAGTGTGTTTTGACTTTTCGGACAGATAAGTCACAGTGTCGGTAAGCTAGTGACATAACACATAAAGTTTCAGCGTGAGTCTGCTGGACTGTGTGCTTTGTTTCTTGCGGCCGTGCACGCATTAAGTTAAAGTGAGGCTAACCCAGCCGTTCGCTAATAAGGACTACTGTAGGCTGCCGTTTCGCTAAAGTTGTGGAACGTAACAAGCTGCAGAGGATCGTTACCGAACTGGATGACTACGGACACATCCCAGATAGTCACTCTGAGTGCCCGCGTCACTCAGAGTACCTCTGGCAACGTGGGAAGCTAAAACAGGTAGCTTGTGGAGCACGTGGAGATCACGGACCTTCCTCATCTTTGTGCTACTGCATTCAGAGCGGAATGTTTCTGAAGGAGCTGAAGACAACTGGTTGCCTGGATTAAGCTGGTGGGAATTGCACGTCTCACAAGGTACCGAGTTTATTTATTTATTTTTTGCTCGTTAAGTGAAGAACTTCCGGTTGGGAGATCGTTTTGGATTTATACTGGAGCAATACAGGCCTGCAACGTAGGGTTTATCTCTGCCGTCTTTAGCTTTAGTTTGGGACTATAATTGTTTTATCACTGGTGGTTTACACTGTATATGTGGAGGTTCTGTGTACAGTGGGTAAATTGCTGTGTGTGGTTTTTTTGTTTTTGTTTGCCTGAATACTGAAATCTGCCATTTTATTATTTTCTTGTTTTCATTGTTTGGTAAATTAAAGGAGGGTTGCAAGGCTCTACTTTACATGGTGTATGACATGATTTACTGCACTGTAGACACTAGTGTTCATTTTCGTGTGTAGTGCTACTGTTAAGGAATAAGCTTCATTGATCCCAGAAACAAAAGAGAAGTTAATTTAAAAATATCGTACGAGAGTACACTAGAAAAAGAACCCAAAGCCCATTTATTTAATGGTATTGAGTAAATGAGGGCTACATAAAATGGAGGCACCGCTGGGATGTTTTTGGGTCTCATAGAAGTATTAAAGAGGCAACACACTAAAAAAAAAAAAAAAATTAAAAGTTAACCTACAGTAGCTTGTTTACATTTCTTAGTATTTTTGGCTATTATGAGTATGGCAGACCACACCGGGCTTGCTGCAGAGCTGAAGAGGTGGTGTCGGGGTGAAGGTTTGGAGGAAGCTAAAGCACTCTTGGTTCTGGTTCCAGAAGAAGTGGAAATAGCCCAGATAGAAGAAACCTTGGAGACTATTAAGTGTCTAGGGCGAGTCCGGGTTAGAGGGCGCTTGTTCCACACCCCCTTGAGCTGCCTAATGGTTCTCTGCGAGTGCAAACAAAGTATACCTAAAGATAATGTACCCAAGGAAGTGCTGGACCAGCACAGTGGTGAGAAATGGCCGATAGTGACTCTTAATGAATGTGGCGCTCCTGACGATTTTGCTGTGAAGTTGAAGAGTCTCTTAGACACTGAGGGTAGGACTATGGAAGACATACAAAGCTTATTTCTCAGCTTTGCTCCTCCGCAGCCCAGCTCTGATCCTTCCATAAACTCCACTGAGTCTGTCTTGCAAGTGGTTGGTGATTTTTTGGAGAAGGCACGTAAACCACAAGCTGAAGGTGGTTATCGGCGTTTGAGGCTGTTTTCAGGGAACTTGCCAGTGAAGACCCCTTTGACCATTGGCTTGAGCAGGCATGGCTCATGGTAGAGGAAAGTGACTGTACAGACAAGGAGAAAAGGCACAGGCTGATGGAAAGTTTAAAGGGGCCAGCGTTGGAGATTGCCAAATTGGTCCGTGAGTCAGACCCTGAGGCAGGCCCTGTTGAATACCTGGAGGCTTTGGAAAGCGCATTTGGCAGTGCTGAGTCTGGGGATGATCTCTATTTTGCTTTCCGCTTAATGCAGCAACAACCAAGTGAAAAACTGTCTGATTTTCTGAGGCGTCTGGATCTCATGTTTCCGATCTCATGCTAATTAATCTGCGCCTGAGAGAGAGAGAAAGTCCAAACCCCCAACTTTCCTCCAACTCTTAAGTGAGATTCGCACAGAGGAAGAGTATGAGGCATCAAGGAGGAAACTAAATACCTCAGTCCAGCATGTACAGACAAAACTTTTAGGGACTGACAATACAGAAATACAAAGTCTCAAAGCTGAAGTTAAAGAGCTTAAGGCCAAGTTAGCCACCTGCATGACTAAGGCCCCTGAGGTCAAAGAGAAAGGCTCGTCCTCAGTGCAGTCAAGTGAGCCCAGTGACACCAAGGAACTGGCTGCTTTGAAAAAACAAGTGAAAAGACTGCAGCAGAAAGTAGCCCAAAGAGATACTGTTCCAGACTCCTCTTTAAAACTGGCTACCATGGCAGCAGTAGAGGCTAACTCAAAGACAAGGACCCCTTACCAGAACAGAACACCTTTGGATGAGCAGTTCTGTTACCGTTGTGGGGAAAAGGGACATTTTGTCGCAAAGTGTCAAAATCCTGAAAATCAGAGCAAAGTTATTCGAAAGCTCATCCAAACTGTCAAGACACTGAAAGAAAGTTCAGGTACTTCAACAAGTAATGCCCCTGACACTGACTGTCATGTCAAGGAGGGTCTTCTGATTTGGGGTTTAAGTGAGTCCAATGTCAGTTACCCCTACCTTGGCTATGTTGTGGTAGATGTTGAGTACCCGGCTGAAGTGACTGGCACCAAACACACAGTACCTATCTTGCCCTGATCTGTCCAAGCCCAAAAAAAGAGCAGATTTATGTCATTGTTGGCACTAACACCAGCCATGTCCGCAATTTGGTACTGGAATGCAGAAAAGAGGGGCGTGACATAACCAAAAGCCTGGGCATCCAAATTCACAGGGAGTCGCTACCCACTTTCACAGACTCCATCACCCTAGGCTCTCAAGATGACCAGGTTGGCTGTGTGACTTGACAAGGTTCAAGTCCCTTGTCCTTACCCCCTGGAAAAGACTTGCAAATAACTTGCAAAGTTCATTTTCAGAAGACAGTTGGCAAAGAGATCTTGATGTTTGACTCTTCTCCTTTAGCTCCTCTGCCAGGTGATGTCCTGCTTCAACCCATGGTTGTGCCCGCCAATGCGGTACAAGTTAACAGCTTCAGGATCCTGGTGCAGAACCAGTCCGCCAGGGAAACCATTATCCCGGTTGGAACCGTCATGGGTCACCTT